GTGTAAGGTAACCTCGTAGCAGTCAGGAAATAGCTTTACGAAACTCTTTGCACATAAATTTGTTACTGTTACACTCACTAGTTATCTACTAAATAATTTTAACATAATAGCTGTATTGATCTTTAAAAAACATTTATTTATATGTGTAAAACAGTGATGGATTTGCCTATAGTGTTTAATACATATAAAATAAACTATGCTTATTTCAATAAAGTCAAGGGAAGTAGTCGTATTAACATATATTTTTGAAATGTAACGAAACCTTACGATCCAATTTATCATTGTAAACAGTTAAGTCCGCGTTGGACAATTGACTCAATTTAAGTCCCCGCCGCAAAAGCACGTGATAGTACAGACAACGACCAACAGTTAAAAGTTATAATTTGATGATCCATTTTTAAATGTATTACCAAAACATTACTATTTTATTACAATATTTGTAGATTACTTCTTAAATTAAAATTTATGACATCCTTCGGTATGATTGTAACGCGGACTTATAATTTTCCGCATCATTTGCGCCCCTTGTTGAAATGGTTCAAATAATATTGGTTGTTGCTCACATTGTTTTATCCTCGCAATTTGAAGTTCTGTTTGTAACGTAATTCTAATCAAATGCGCTGGTAATGTTGCATAAAAATTGAAAGCATTTTTTAAGACGTATAAAGCTCGCTGCGGACGATAGAATTAACTTTAACTTGAGTTATAACTGACCGTATAGCATGCTTACTGTCACAGAGATCACTGTTTAATGGAAATAAAGATATACAATTATATGTTAGAAATAAGTAGGAACGTAAGTAATGACCATGATTGTGTTGTTTGCAGTTAAACAAGGGAAGCAAACAATCGTGATCGAAATATTAACGCGCCGGACTATGTTAATCCATCTTATTTCCCGTATATACTAGCTACATATTTATTTATTCAACACATATAAATACTACTTAAAAAGATAAACACGAAATCTAATCTGCGCAAAAAAATGTGCGCTTTAGTATTCCACGTGAAGCCTAAAAGATTGTATGTACCTATAAATTACGTAATACCTCGTGATACCAGTTACAATTGTTTTCAAAGTGATAAGTTGTAAGTGATTTTGTCATAGATAAAATTTTTAAGCCTTTCTTACAATGGAATAAGGTTGAAAATGCCATTTCATAGCTATCTAACCGCTTCCTTATCTGAATTAAATACTAACATTCTTGATCATGCTGTTTTGTTTGCATTTATTGTTTTATTTAAATAATGTTACAAACTTCTAATGTGTTGTCTTGTGTGTTTGTAATTTTCACATCTCACCACACATCATAATCTTTGATGTCATAGAGTAAAATAAATTAAAAATCCATTAATTAAGGCGCCGTTTCCATACTTGGTTACCATTCAAGTATAATTCATTGACGTCGAACGTATTGACAACAAACTCTGACTAACAAACAATGCAAGACAAAGTGCTTAAGTTCATTTTAATTCAAGATTTTTTATTATAAAGTGCATTAACAAGTCACCAGAGAGATTCGGTGCAACTCTTTTTCTTTCATTTTCCTATAAGTCCTATCCAAAAACATTGAATTTAAATCTAATCGTTCACAACTAAAGCAGAAAACCCTTTTTAAAAGCAATTTTGTAATTAAAATTGTAGGTAAAAAATATTTACTTAGTAACAGCGGCCGACGATAAAACCGAACGTTAATACCTAAAGGGAAAAAAAAGAAAAACGTTTGAACGCATCTTCGAAGCTACGAGCGGCCGTCGGCTATACATTAGTACAAAAAAGTGTCTGTATACACACACGCAAGCAAAAACTTCGCAGATGTGCTCACACGCATCGGCGGGAAAAAGCGGCCCATGTAGGTTCCCCATATGTGTTGCCATACCTTTTAAAATATACCTAAACCAGATTGAACTATAAACTAAGTGCTTAATTGCGGTGCAAACACTGCTTAAAATAATAGTTATTAGACATTTAAATAAATTTCTACTTGTTAAATTGGCTTTGTTTCAACCAATTTCTACCGTTTTTCTTTCATCAAAAGCGACACAAAAATGTAATTGAATATTTTATAATTTAAGTAACTTATTTATATCAATAATTTGCATTTTGAAGAAGTTTTATTTCATAAAGTTATAACTTTGAAATGTAACAATCCTGATTGACAATCCAGTGTGGCCAACCTAGCAGCGACACATCTTAGCCAGTGTTGCCATTATGATAATATACTCGACTCCCCATATGTGTTTACAGCTCAAGAACTAGCCCACTTTTTCATCGTCTGTGACCGTATTACTCTAATTGGTAAAAATTATATTTTTTTTTATAAATTATCAGCAATTAAATCAATATCCAATACCGCTGTTAACAAGATTGTTAGCATTTTTACAAGACATGCAATGAATGGAAGAATTTTAATTAAGTTTAAAGTAATCGATACTAAGGAGAAAGGTGCGTTCAAATATTTCTGGACAACGGTGAACAATTATAAGTAATTATTTGAAGGAACATAAGAAACATAAGAAATGCTCATTTTTTTTATAAAAGTTTTGATACCCAGTCGAACGATATTTTCAACAGTTTACCGGCCGACTGTACAATATATGGTTTCAGTATTCGATCGAAAGTGTTATCAATTTGTTTTTATTTAAAAAAGATCAACAACGTTTTTTGTCCTCATTGCTATGGGTAGTGTAGTTCACGTCCTTTTTAGCTACGGTTTATTTAAAAAGTTTACTATCTTCTCTGAACTTGAAACTTAATGTAAACGTATGATTTTGAACCTGTCTTGCCATTAAAATTACAAGATTAACTTCCTCGTGTATTTCTTTTTTCCAATTGCACTTTTAAATATAATTTTGGATTAATTAAAACGTTAATTTTGACTTCATTCTCCATATTTGGATAAATTTTAATTTTGGAAACGTATTTTCATTTAACTTGTTATTGTAATTCATTTTGTTAGTAAATAACATTAATTAAAATTAATATCAATATTTTAAAAATAACGAGGTCGTATTTTTGAAACCTTAAAATTTTCAACTTCCGATAATTAAAAATATTAATATCTCCCATAACCAAATTTGGATATTTGGTAGTAAATAAAATCTTTAAAGTGATTAAAAGTATTTTGCAAGTAACATTTACTTAAAAATAAAATAAAACCCAGAATAGTAATAAAATAAAAAATGACCATGAATTTTATAAAAAAACAATTACAAGTTGACCAAAATGACCAAACTTTTAAAACACTTTAAGTAACGCCTTTCGTAAAAGGTATAACTAAATTATCATTTAATAGTACTGTAGACTAAAAGTAATTAACATAAACTGCGTTTTCCAATCGCTGAGAGCTATAGGGCAGGTCATGGCTGCATGCGTAAACGGATGTGCATTCGATAACATTATTATCACAAATTCAAAGTCCTCCTGGGAAAGAGTAATTCTAGAGGCATCGAAATTGATTTATCAACAAAATATTGTTGTATACACTTAGATGTATTAGTAAAAACTTCTTATAAATAAAAATCGGCGTGTATTTTCTAGTAGATTTGTCTGTCTGTGGCAATTATCTTGCAGTATAGAGTCGTCTGGCTCCCGGCAGGCGAGTACCAGGCGAGCAGCGGATCGCAGTGGTATCACGTTACGCGCTGGCTGTTGACACCAACGCCTGATTAATATTTATGATACGGCTGAGCATCTCGCATGGCCGGTTCGACCGTCCGATGCGAATCATCTCCGTCTTGCTCGCACTCGTACGATCGCATATCGCCGTCGCATCTCATATGTTAACAGCTCCTCCAACCAATTGACTACAGTGCGAATGAAAATCCAAAAACCTTATAATTTTCTTTAGACTATTTGTAATAATTTAAATAACGCATATTTTTTTCTCGCTTTGACTAACCGAACATTCAAGTTATTGTGTTTAACACATCATGTATAGTGGAAATTTACCGTGGAATGTTTCGTGCACGATCTGAATCTGAAAGAAATGTGATTAAACAGAAGCAGGTCGACGATCGTCCCTGTTGCCGTATTAAAAGCCGTTTAAAGAAATATGTGGAACGGGCTGGGAGTGCGAACCACGGACTGCGATGCGATGCCTCGAACCTGACCGTATCGAGGTAACTCAACCGGACGGACTTGACTGACATATTATAAATTTGCAATGCGTAGTATCTCCAACCCAAGGTGTCGTACAATAATTTTTCAAGCGACAAAAGCGAGAAGTAAAATACTGTTAAGGCTAAATAAACAATATTTATGCGCTTTGCACATTTGGGATCATTTTATTCCAATATTTCCTCAACACGTCCAAACCAATAATCTGTCGGGACTCGTGACGTTATAGTTTATTTGAATTACTCATTGAACTTTATTAGTCATTTGATTAAACAGAGTCGTTTGTCTCTAATTGAAACGCATCCAAAACCGCCATTCCCTTGACTTTTCGACCTCTGTTTCCATATTCCTTTGTAATCGGGTCTTCTAAATTTTTTGTTTGATCTTTTTTTTTAGTGTATGGTCCTATATTAGAGGTGTTATCATTGTATGCGTTGATCGGCTAAGTTTGTTTGTCTGGAACGTTTCGCGAGAGATCGTGCGGTGCGGTGCGGCGGCGGAGCGCCGGCCGGCATGCGAGCCCGCGCCTCAAGGTCACGTTATCGTGCTCACTGCTCTCGCCAGCGCCAGCCGCTCGCGAACGAACGCTGCTCGCCTCCACAATTACTACCACTCTACACATTCCGATCCTATCAACATCAACACGGCACCGGCGCGGCGGCTGGCGGCTGACGGCAGGCGGCAGCGATCTTACAGGAACTCGGCAATCTCGACGTCGCGGACTCTATTGCTAACGAGCGGACGGGACGGGGCCGGACGCGTTTCTCTAAGTAGCGATACGACGATTTCGAATCGAATTAGCGGCATGTTTACATTTTATAAATAGAGCGCGTTCACGTGGCGCGTGATAAGCGTACGACGACACGTCGTTAGCACTCACCGTGCGCTGTTAACATCCTCCGCGATCGGCTGACAGTTCCTCGATCGCACTGACACTCGGGCGGGAATTAAAGCACTCACAAACGGCGCACTGAGCTCGGCGGCACACGCGAGGACTGCACGGCGCGACACCCACGACTAGAATGCGGGCGAGACGAGCGCGGGGCGCGGGGTGCGGGGAGCCGAGAGCGACACACAGCTCATACGAAGGCGCGGCGAGTGCGACTGCGGCCGGGCGCGATCGTCCGCCATCAGCCCCCCCTATTGGCTAGAACCGCGATGACGTCACGGCGACTGGCCAATGGCCGTCTGCTTGTTGTTGCCGGCAGCCGCCGCTAGGGGCGCTGGCAGTGAGGAAGTCGCCCGCCCTACAGAGCTTTCTTGAGCTAGGGCGTATGCTTCCTTGGGCGGCTAGTCTCGGCGCATTTTATAAAATCTACAATGTTGCTATGTGTGATATTATTTCACAGCAACATAATATTTACATGACTATTATTTCGTTGGTACTTGAATTTATAATACACAATTATTTTTATTTAATTCACACTCTTCACTTGAATTTGGTCAATTGCCAGACAGGGTGAATATACCTATGAATTGAACAAATATATTGTGACAGTGAAAAATAATGACACACCGTACTTACGCTCATACTGTTACAGGAAGGTTGAAGGAATTAAGGCTTGATTTTATCATAAAGTTGTTGTTAACTGCTTAAATTTTATGTTGTAGTTAGTACTTCTATTATTTTTTGGGGAAGTATTTAAATTCGTAATTCGCCAAAATAGCGAAGTGACCACAGCCCTTAGAGATCCGCAAAAGCAGATGCGTTGCTTCCCTTAACTAATAGAGGAGAATACAGAAAGAGATATTCCTTTCTATGTGTCCCATGCCTCGCTAAATCCATTTGCCTTTCCTTCCATATAAAAAACTTAATAAATCTAACACTAGCGAGCCAATATAGGAAAAAACACTTAATATTAGTCACTAAGAGTAAGAGCATCGTCATTAGAGGGAACTGTAAACAAAACCCTTAGCGACACCCGGGGGACATGACAGCTGTACCCAAGCCTCAGCGCGACCATTAAACACCCACCATGGATTTAACAACAATTATACAAAAATAAACCTTAATACAAACGTTTAGAGTCGAAATTCCAAAAAAACAATTTATCAAATCTGAAGTTTCAGCCGTGAAAACATTTAATAGAATTTAAATCGTATGCCATTGGGATAAGGTTAATTTTTTACATGTATAACATTAGAAATATTAGCTACTAACACAGGAAATTGTATCGAAGATTTAAGTAAAAGGTAAGAAGCGATTAGAAAGGAAATGCCGTCTCAATTTGTACATTAAATCTGTGATTAAACTGGATTTCCGATTTTGTCTAAATTAAATAATTGTTAAAAGATCTTAAAAAATTAAAAAGAATGTTTGTGGAATTAAATTAATGTGGGTTTTGATCTTCTTAATGTTTTTATACAAGCACTAGCTTTCGCCCTCGACTCCATCCGTGTGGGATTACAAAAAACAAAAGTGAGCAGCCTATGTGTTCTTTCAGACTGTCCTCTACGTCTCTGCCAAATTTCGTCGAGCACCGTTAAGCCTTTAAGGCTACAATTTACAAACATCTATCCATCCATCCATCTAAGTTTTCGCTTTTATAATATGAATTAGTAAGATGAAGGCTGTGTAAACAGTTCATCACAACGTAGTATATTAAGGAATAGCTTTTTCTGACGATTTTGTTAGCAGTAAAAAGAAAAAGTAAAAATATTTAAGAAAGGAGTGAATTCAGATAGCTGGTAGAGTATGGAAGAGCAGCACATACTGTGCCGACCCTATGTAAGAACAAGGGCAAGTTGATGATGTTAGTCAATTCTAACGTAGCTCTCTTACAATGAAAGTATTTTTGAAATCGGTTTATAAGTTTAAAAAAATGTAAAAATAGTTTGATAATTACAATATTTATTTATTACTGTTAGCAACACTTATCTACGTCACAAAGTATAACTACTGGATATCATGCGAAGTTTATTTTATATTATTCAGCTATAATCGCTATTGAAGAGTCAGCAATTATCGGCCAAAGCACACAATTACAAAACAACGGCTTTAATGCCATACTATTTTCCTTTGTTGGTGAGAGTCGCCATCTGCCGGTAAAGTTGATAACTATAACAACGTCCTTTTCTCCATAACTTGGATTAGAATATAAATTTTATTATTTGCATGCGCATAATTAATGAATGCAAAGGAAATCCACTTTCAACTTGTGAATTGTTTACCGGACTTAAGGCCGAATACTAAAACGACACAAATATTAAACGTTTTAATTAATAAGGTCACATTTACGTTAAAAATTCCATTAAAATCTTGACGTCAGTCAGATTGTAAGCGACATTTACAAAGCCAAGTGTTTTAAATTCGTTTCAGTAAATATCAGTTCACAGGGCATTTTTTTATTTATTACGTTATTCTTTCAATAAAGAGATTTCAATAATTTCATTGTTCATTTATTTATTGTATTTATTATATTTTATTTATTACTCTTCTGTACAGAAAAAAGCATTTTTTTATTAAGATTTTACAAAAATCATCCCATCTTCCTCACCATATGTCAACCACCCCTGCTATTTAGTCAGATAATAACGCCTGACAATTTACTTTCATGTGCTCTTTGATACGGTTCCCGCTATAAATCTGTCAAAAAGGCAACAACTTTTCCCCACTCTCAGACGTTTATGCGTAATTAAATAATCAAAGAATAAGATAATTTAAGTAAGTGCGATCTTTTATGCCTTTTTAAGGACCTTGCACTTTTGTATTCGATTTTAAAACGTCCATGTTATTACGTTAGGTATATATTAAGTAATTTAAAATTCTCTTTAGTTATTTTTAGTCATAAAGCTGTGAATTTAAAGGATTAGGCACTCTGCTTACTGAGTAAGAACATTTTAAAGAAAACCAGTTACAGATTACAATAATTAAAGAGAGCGTATTGAACTGGTACGCCGTTAAAATGTGAAAGTACAATAAATTGTGCTTCGCGTGAGGCAACACCGAAATCGACAAATGTACTTTATTATCTTGTCTATCTCGACGATATGCCTTTATTAAGAACGTCTCAGGCAGATATAACCAGAACATCAGACTAAGAACTCGAGTTTTTAACATAAAAGGCAATTTACTAATTTTTTAACACACATTTAACAGTTATCAACTCATAGTCCATATTTAAACGCCTGATCAATTTGTCTAGATACAATTTCAGTTATATTTTTATCTAGCTTTCGCCCGTGACTCCGTCCGCGTGGTATTAAAAAAACAAAAGTAAGTAGCCTATGTGTTCTTCCAGACTATGCTCTACATCTGTGCCAAATTTCATCTAGATCCGTTTAGTCGTTTAGACTACAAACTCAAACAAACATCCATCCATCTATCCATCTAAACTATCGCATTTATAATATTAGTATGATATTTAACTGACAACACGAATAGAATTGAAAATATAAAAGGATGAGATAGCGGAGAAGAAAAGGTATTTTGTTATAAATGTAGTGTATCCAGTAGTTCTTAAATTTATCTCATAGCTCTTATTGACTGTACCAACAACTTAGTAGTCTTCGTATACAATAACGCCTAATTTAAAAATTTTCTAATTCTATTCTCGTCTAATCAAAGACCATACTGGACAAAATACCTAAAACTAGGTTAATTTCAAATCTCGGAATGTTAGAGGAGCCTAAAATATACATTGTTTTTTAGTAATTGCAAGGTAAGAATATAAATCTTGAAAATGTATTAAAGTGGTTCAAAAGAACAACGAGTTGTATATAAAGATTGACAAGCGTTGAGATTTCAGTGCATTAAACTCTTGAGCAAATCTCCCCGCGCTGCGCACGCGCCGACGCCGAGGGGAGGACGAAAATAGAACACATACTGCCGGCAGCCGCTCGCCCGCGCCGCCTGCCGTCAAGCCAAGCACCGGGAAAACTCGATAGACTTTAGAGTTTTTGAAGTAATACCAACAAGATGGTAAACTAATTTACCGTCTTGTTGGGTAAGTTCTGGACCTTCTTAGGGTGGTCCCTACAATTATCATTGATCGACTTTTCCAAGCTTAAAACGGTGGTTGGAAAATCATTGTTCCAGCCAGCTCTAAATTTGAATTCCAGACTAGTTTAAACAGATATTTGTTTTACAAAGATGAAAGTTGGCCACCGAGTAAATTTACATTATCTCAATATCAAACAATACTTTGTATTAAAGATATTTACTAGTATGTTTTCAGTTATGTTCACAGAGTAGGGCACGCACATTTAGCAAAATTTGTTTTGTTACCTAAATCTTATCCTCGTCCATTTATTGCTTCTTTATTAAGAGCTGTTCCCGTGCGGCTTCGTCCGCATGAAATTATGAAAATTTTATTTTATTGTTTACCTTTGTCGAATTCTCAATTGCAAATGTCAAAACACCTTAACTTACTATGGCAATCTTGCTTGCTTGATGTTGGCAGTAACTTATGGTCTCTTTCCCACATTAGGGTTTTTATTCAAAATATCAACCCTTTAAGTTTAATGGCGTGAAAATATATAGCCTAAAGCGTGACGTAAGTGTAGGGCATTTTATAAAGGAAAGAATTATTCAAAAATATGCTGTAATCGCCGACATCTTAGGCGACAAAGATGTGTGTGTTTACGCTTTATTATAATAGTATAGATGTATTAAAACGCGGAGAGTAAAAGAAAGTTTTTAAAACGTATACTTACTGATGTTTTATCTTTTGTGAATTTATCAGCGGTAGTGTTTAAAAGGTCTTAATATTAAAGTAAGTTCAAGGCGAATCTTGGCACTAGGCTCTTAAGATTAAGATTATGGTCTATTATAAGATAGAGTAGGCGAAGAGAATCTTTTTATTAAATTTTAATACTCACTAATGTTAAGAAATTTTGTAGAGAAAGAAAATGAAATTAAAACTCTACAGATTAAACAACGGATGTAGTATGTTGTAAAAACGTTGTAATAGTAAATTGTATGTTGTGGACTATAATAAAAGCCATAAATTCTGTATAAAAAATGTATTTACAACAAAAAGAAAACAAATTTCAGTTACCCCGTTTTTATTTCTCTATATTTTCTATGTGATTCACGCTTAATTTTTAAAGAAGAGATTTAGTTATTTCTTAAATATACTTCAGTATCCTAGCAAAGTACTATGTAATAGCGTAATTAGTTTTAGCAAACAGGCCCGAGGCGTTGGCTATTGAACACGTAGTATGTACTTGTTGTTTTGCTCCCCACTCGATAGTGTTTACCTAAACTTTAATAACTTATACCTACAATTGCTTGTCAACAAAACAATACCTTATCTTTTTTTAATATAATATAAGGTGGAAAACAAGCAAGCAGTCACCTGAATCCTAAATCCACCAAAATGGAAAGCGACCGCAATAAACATCTGCAATTGCAGAGGCATTGCCTACCTTTAATTGACGGAGGAGGAGATGCACAAAAAGAGGAAATTTTCCCTTTCTTATGCGTCGCCTCCACCGTCAAATCCACTTTTTCTTCCCATCCTTTCCTCTTAAGAAAATGATGAAAAGGGAAAGGGACTAAAATTAGGCCTCCGGCACCACACTTATCAGACCAAACGTGGAATTGCCTTCACTTCACGCCTGTTTTCTGTGTGGTCGTGGTATACCGGACGAGCCGGCCCATAAATCTTAGCGTTAATAAAACTTGGTACCCTTAAACTACTAAATAAAGAAGACAAAATAAATTTGGTTCAGGTCCAAGGTATATACGACTCTGTGGTAGAACATGTATCAATTGACAACGCAATCATTTTATTCTAAATTTAAACTCAGTAGAGTAACAATTTTCCTTTTTGTCTTCATAACTTTTTCTTGCCAGCCAGTACCTATAAAACATGTTTCATCTCAGTTTTCCAAGTCGAATGTTAATATTTTGTACCAGTTCTCAGGTAGTTGAACTCACAGTCCATGACAATAAATGTAAACATGAATAAATGTTGAGTTCATCTAAAATTTCATCACAAACATCGTATTCTCATTGTCTACGCACGAGTTTACAATATGTTACGCATAATGCTTAACCTTTCGCCTGTCCCATTGGAGTCTCCCACAAGGTGATATCATTTCAATGAAAACATCACAACTACATATTCTATTCTATCAATATTGTACTCTATTTCTACATTATACAGTGCATTTTCAATTGTATCTATATATGTGACATTGAATGGCTCTCTCCTTTTGTTTTTTGCTATGGACCCACGTGGCGCGACACATGTTTCAGACCATCGCATCCCGATACAATCCGGGAGATGGCAGATAACCAACTTAAGCTGCTCCTAGCTATTCAAAAGTGTGTGCGAAATTCTATCGTTTGAATATTAGGTTATTGGAACGCACTATGGTGGAGAAACTGCCCTCATTTCATTGATGTTTGAAACATATCTTGTTTAAATCGTCTTAGCTTATTTGCTATTGATTTATTTGCGTACCTGAATGTTTTGGTTTAAAAAGATTTATATCTGAAAGGAAGATTCCTAACACTCTTAATTCTTATGTTAAACTTGTCTTGTTCTTATCATATAATTCTGAAGATTCGTTGCACAATTATGTAAATCTTAAAAATATTTAAATTTGTAATACGAAGGATAAGTAACAAATGTGAATATTTCTTATTGGAAAATTATACAGTTTTCTATAATTGCTTCTAAGCATTGAGACAGAAGCACATTGGAGCTAACGACATTTTTTAAATTATTTTTCACAAAATTTGATATTTTATCATACAAAAAATATTTATCGTCAATGATCAATTTACTTTAAAACTCTACATAAGGTGTAACAAAAGATTGTTCACATATAAAATAGTTATAATATTTTTAATAATTAAAAACAGCAAACATAAAGATGACAAAAAGCGATGAATCAGAAATTCTCATGATGTTAAGATGGTGTAGGGACAGATGCGGCGCACATTTCAGGGACTCCCGCGCCCCCGCACTCCGCACGGGGTCTCATCACCCCTCTAAGGGAATCAAAGAAAAAACTAAACTTGAAGTAAAAACATCACCTTTATAGCAATACAGTTAAAGCTCATAATACTGAGCATTAAAATAATTTCATTTCTTCAGCAAAAACTGCTTAGTGTATAGGGTCATTTTTGTGTCATTAAGGTCATTGGCCTAATTTTTTTTTGTTCTGCCATATGCTTGCGGTAATCGGTAAAAAAAACGGCAATATCTAATGACATAATCAATGCAAATATAACTTTGTACGTAATTAAAATAATAATTTAATTGAAGGAATAATTTTATTCAGAGTTCATGAACACTATTTCGAGTATATTTATCTTTGGTAAAAACTTAGTATCCGTGTACTTTTAAAAAAATTACGGGTATTTTTAAAGAAAATTTCAAGGCCATTATTCGAATACTTATTAAATCTTATTCTCAATGTTTGTTGGTTCAGATGAGATAAGGCCTGAGATAAAATAATATCTGGAGATATTATATTGGTATCTTATCTCAGCTAAGATACTTCAACATCATTTCAATGATCAGTTTTCTTAAATTAAGCAAAAGAGCATCATGGTATTGACGTTGAGTGTTTTATCTCTTTGCGTTTTAGGAGCTTGGGCTCAAATACCTCCATTACGAATAGTTATCATCGGCCAAGGGACTGTGGTAGGGTCTGTTGCTACTGATGGCGACTATTACGAGTTTCATGGAATACCTTACGCTGATTCTACATCTGGACCAAATAGATTCAAGGTAAGCCTTTTATTAGAACAATATAACGTGTATGTATATTCATTTTGTTGACAAAAATTATTTAAAACCGATTTCAGGCACCCTCCCCGCCACCTTCATTTCAGAGTATGTTTATGGCTAACAGAAGAGATATAAAATGCGTAAGAGCTTTAGGTGTTGGCTACGAGGGTACTGAAGATTGTTTAGTCGCGGATGTTTATACACCAACATTGATTAATACTACTCGATTACCCGTCATGGTTTGGATAAAGGGAAAAGAATTCGATAAAATATACGAACATGAATTGTCATTCAAAAATTTCATGGATAATAATGTGATTATTGTTTCATTGAATTATCGCGAGTCAATTTTGGGATTCCTTTGCTTAGGAAATGAAGCTGCACCTGGAAATGCAGGATTAAAAGATATAGTAGCCGGTTTGCGCTGGGTCAAACAAAACATAGGCCAGTTCGGTGGAGATCCTGATAATATAAGTCTCTTCGGACATGGGAGTGGTGCTGCTGCAGTTGATTTGGTATCTCTGTCTCCATTTGCTGATGGTCTTATTAATAAAGTAATTGCTCAAAGTGGAACTGCGATGTCACCATGGGCAGTGACACGAGACAACCTAAAATACGCAGTAGACGTTGCTGAAGCTCTTGGGCATACTATCAATACTATTCATGATCTGACGGATGCTTTTAAAAGAACGAGCATAGCAGCTCTTATGGCTGTAATCAATGAACTTGATCTTACCGATAATTCACTAGCATTTGCACCGTGCGTTGAGCGAGAAGATATAGAAAATGTAGAACCATTCCTTACAAAATCCCCATACACAATTTTAACCGAAGGTTCATATTCTCGTATACCGTTTATGACTGGCTTTGTGGATTACGAAGGAACGATACGAGCTGAAGAAGCTTTTGAAGACGATTGGTTAGAAAAAATGGAAGAGTCATTTGATGATTTTGTCCAGCCCGATTTAAAATTGGAAAACGATGAGAATGGTTTAGAAACAATACAAAATATAAGGTCATTTTACTTTCGTGACAATATTATTAATGAAACACAAATAAAGAATTTCCTTTCATATCATGGTGATACTATGATTTTGGTATCGGCGATAAGGGAAGCTAGTTTAAGAGCCGCCTCCGATAGCCCTGTTTATTTGTATCAATTCTCTTATAAGGGACTGCTGGGGGATCCCTTTGTGGGTCCTATAGAAGTAAACAGTGCAGCTCACAGTGAAGAACTAGCCTATTTATTTTACCATGAATCGGAATCAGAAACATCAATAATGGATTTAGCTGTAAGAGATATATTGGTAGAACGATGGACAAACTTTGCTAGAACTGGGTGAGAATTAAAAACTTTAAATAGCTATTTTCAACGATTCAGACAAATTTTATGATAAGATTTATAACTTTTGTATTAAAATCAAAAGAATACCGATACTAAAATTTAGTTAGTAAAGTTTTTAACAGGATTGCAAAATATCTGATTTTTATTTCTATTTTCAGAATACCAGGAAGCGAATTCTCGCAAGTATTATGGAAGCCATTCACAAATTCGAATGCAAACTATTTGAGAATACTAGACGATGAAGAAGTTAATGAACGTCAAGGAGGAAGTTTAGAAGCAAATTTAACCAATCCCCACCCTGACACTATATTTTTCTGGGAACAGATATACAATAAGCATTTTGTAGATGCTGTCGGTAGGTGGGATCTTGATGATAGGGGTGAAGATGATGATAATGATGTTATCATTGATAATGGAAGTGGAGAAGAAGGAAGTGGAGATGACGGAAGTGGTGATGAAGGTAGTGGGGATGAGGAAGGTAGCGGGGAAATAGAAGGAAGTGGTGAGGAAGATGATGAAGATGACAGTAATTCTGCACCTAGACTTGTCGGGTACAGCTTTTTAATAATACCAATATTTTCATTATTAAATAAATTCCATATATTATAAATTACTTCAAAGGCTTACTGCAGTAGACACATAGCTACTGTAACCAAGTCTTTATTTTTGTCACACTTTAATACATTTCAATAACGAAATATATTATAAGATCTATTTATATAGATGTTAAAAGTGTTTTAGTTTTTAAAAATATTATTTCAATAACATTAATAATTCGACTAACCAAGCATAAGGTTCATAATAAAATAAAGGATGTTCTAAATATAGGTGTCAATAATTAAAATTAAAAATCTTAATAGCTATAGACTATGTGAGGGAAGTGAAGTTGCGTGCTGATGAAGCTTTAAAGTTCACGCAGGTCACGACGCTATGTACTGATACGGAGGTCAGAAGGTCAGGTGGTGCCCTATGCGTTTATGCAAACAAGCGGCCGTGGGCGGCTTGAATGTCATGTGGACACTTTTAGATCCGCCATACGCCTACTTTGTCTTCAACATGATGCTTTTGTGAACACTGAGATTTCTCCTCTATTCGAAACAAACTACTGTATTTTCCCGTGCATTCACAAACTTTTGGGGTGTTCTAACGTTTATGTATTTGTATACAGTATGTTCAATAATTTGTTTATGAATGTGAAATATAATATAAGATGTTAAATAAATGCATTTTGCTGCCTTTCAATTAAATTAAACTTAAAAATCATGTTTAGCATTATGTACATTATCTATTTCATCTAGAGTAAAACATTGCCGATTATTTAATGGTTAAGATTAAAATATTTTAAAACATATCGATTTTTTTTTATAAATTATTTTCAGTAACCGTTTTAACCTTAGGGATTTTAAAAACCCAGCTTTGCAGATAAAAATTAACTACAATTATACGTTTCTCGATAGCCGACTATTAGTTTTAATTTATACTACACTAGATGTTGTCCATAACTCCATCCGCGTGGTATTAAAAAAAACAAAAGTAAATAGCCTATGTCTTCTTCCATACTCTCCTCTACATCTATGCCAAATTTCGTCCAGATCCGTTCAGCCGTTTAGGCTACAAACTCTAACAAACATCCATCCATCGAACTAAACTTTCGCAATTATAATATAAGTAAGATTGTGGTTACATAACATAGTTAACATACTTTAATAACCGCTAGTTTCTCAAAGAAGCTTATTATAGAACAAAACGAATGAGTTAGGAATGTTTATAGGAACTTCTAATATTGACCATAAAACACTTATAGGGTTGGCCGTAAACTGCAAAAGATTTGCCACATAACATTCTGAACGCAGCTGCAGGCTAAATAAAACTTTGCACATTAAATTATAAACGCGCATAATTAAAACAATGTGTACTTGATTAGTTTATTTCTTAGCTTTTTTATTTCTTGACAAACGACAGCTTTACGGTTTTATTTATAAAAATAATAAATGTTTCTTTAACATACGATATTTCCCCGATTGTGTACTCATTTTTTTTTTTAAATTCAACGTAGCTAAATGACATGAATATAAAACCAAACCCTCATGTATCACCCCAGCTACTGTTGAAAACCGTAGGAAAATTCGTTCATTCGAGTAATTAAGTATGACATTGTGACGGATGTGAGATGGGGACGTGCTACGTACATGTGTAGGAATTAATATATTCAGATCGATAAGAAATTATAATCTAACCAAGAATATTAATCTCCAATCGCCGTCTTCATTACATCAGTTTTTTTATGTTAGTTCCCTGTTTTTTCGCAACATAGCGAGAGTTTTTATATTTCTGGTCAGTGCATACAACGTTTTTGAAATACTTCAAGTGGATATGACGTTATTCGATTCAGTTACCAAGTTATTGTGGACGGGTACATATACAAGGATCAATATTTTAAAAATATTTTTCAAGGTAGCTTATACAAAACGACGTATTCCGACTTCAAATAATACTATCGTGATTTCCTTTGTTAATCAGAGTATCAACAAGTCGGCGATTGTTTAATAATAAGTGGAGGTGCATGCAACAGTCATATTTATTTGGCTGAAATTACCGCGCACACGTGCTGGCCCCGACGATTTTTAATGTTACTTATGCTTATGAAATACGAAACATGGACCTTCCTGTTACTTCATAAATTAATATAAAATATATTTATTTAAGCTTTGTAATAAAAAGAAGATTTTACTAGAAAATACATAAGTTTAACATAGGTAATTGTAACTTTGACAAGATGCATTTTTTTTAATCAGGGGCAATTAAAATGTCACCAACGCCGTTCTATGTAAAATTCAATTTAAAAAAGATTTGAAAAACTGCGTTTGTATTTTAAAATAAAATTTAGCTACTCTTCTTTTCACAAAGCATTAATGAATTTGTACTTCTAAAATAAAGGTATGTCCATACAAATCGATAGTGTTCTGCGTGCGAGACGGGCGTGCCGCAGCCGCCTCTCGCGGGCCATGTGGCCCACATCCTGCCTCTTGCCTCCCTTCACCCTCGCACCTTGTTCAGGTTACAGTCGCGACGAGCTTGAATCCACTGAGAAACGACGTTTTACGTAAGCAGATTGAACTATATACAGTCGAGGACGTTTATTTCCTACCCATTTGGTAACATTCCCATTCGATGCTCACAATTTAATTAGTTAGAAAACTTGTGACGACATGTATACGTGATGAATTTTAGCTCATTTTGGTTAGTTTGTTGTGCGATATCCGATCTTAGGAGAACAGAATTTAATTCCTTCACTTTATTTTTTACCTATTGTACACAATCTCTGTAGAAACGTGATCCTTTGTTTGTATTACGTTTGATACTGTTGTGACTGACCTGGAGCTTAATCTCTATTGAAAGACATACATATGTTATCTGTACATATACATAAGCATCTTTCAATCTTACAAAAGGAATTTCTTGGAGAAGGCTAAGAGGAAAAGGTAACGTAAACCTATCATAACGTTAAAATTACCTTTACTTACTCAGTTCCGATTACTGCTTTACTAACACTGAGATTTTTAGGGCGTTTTTGGACCATGACTTGGGGAGGCTAACAGTTTTATGTGATAGTAATTCACATACTTCTGATACCCCTATCAGGCGCACTGTATTTCTATTTTTATATAACTAGTAATTCATACACCGTAACCTTTCCTACTGTAACTAGCAAAACACTTACATTAACAAAATATGTATAAGGAATTTGTGTCAATTAATACGTAGAGTCAAATCGTACTAATAAATAAGTTTAGATGGATGGATGGATGTTTGTTAGAGTTTGTAGCCTAAACTACTGAATGGATCTCAATGAAATTTGGCATAGACGTTGATGATAGTCTGGAAGAACACATTGGCTTGGATTTGTTTTTTTTTAATACCACGCGGTCGGAGTCGCGGGCGTAAGCTAGTACTAAATAACTCGAAGGATTCACAAAGATACGATCACTTTGTTCTCGACACGGGCGTTCAATTTACTTACGATGTGTTAATGAGCGAAGTGTAATTTTACGATTTGACGCCGAAACTATTTTATGACATTATAAAACTTTTAAACTAAACGATGTTCGGGTGTTTAGAAAGTTAGAACCAAAACAGTGTCGTTAACTTGAAAGTCGTAAATTTTAACCATTTAAGGCGCCTTGCAGCTGAACAGGAGTTGATGCATTTAAGATATGTAAGGAGAAAAGGGATAAGTCAGTTATGACATTTCATTATTACTCAAGAAGTGCCTTAATCTATACTCTATACTATTATAATAAAGCGTAAACACACACTTCTTTGTTGCCTAAGATTTCAGCAATTTCAGCATATTTTTGAGTAATTCTTTTTTTAATAAAAAGCCCTACACTTACGTCATGCTTTCATCTATATATTCTCACGCTATTAAACTTAGGGGGTAAATATTTTGGATATAGACCCTAATGTGGGAAAGAGTCCACAAGTTGCTGCCAACATCAAGAAAGAAAGACTGCTAAGTTTTGTCATGTTATTTTGACATTTGCTATTGATAATTTGACAAATGTAAACAGTAAAATATAATTTTCATAATTTCGTGCGAATGAAGCCGCACGGGAACAGCTAGTTAGACTAGTTATAATTTAACAATTGCTATAATGTTTGGATGGATGGATTAAACGATGCAATAGTTCAAAGAATTTAGATACCATTTGACACAGATAAATAACACATGAAGAATAGATAGGCCTCTATATTTTTACTGAAATTCCTTGCGGATGATGGTAAAAGCCATTTTAAAAACGTAAATCCAAAAAAAAATTACTAATAGTTACCAACTGAGAAAAATCTAGCCAATCTTGTAAGTACAAAAGTAAAAAAGATAACCAAATAATAGATAAATCGATAGAAAACCTTGATAATGTTACTGATAATAAAGTACATACGATTTTTATCATTATCATACGTATATGACGTGGTTAGTTGAGATATAATGGACATCAAGTGGTCATTCACATTTTGGTATAAAATATAAAATAAATTTTAATGTACAAAAGAAATGTAAGTGTAATTTTAAAGAGTAATAAATCTCAAATACACTATTTGTATTTTAACTTTATCTAATCTCCGTTCTATATATAATAAAAATATTTTATATACTAAAATCTAAAGCTATCGAGAGTTGTTAATAAAGTTGTCAATAACAGAGAGTTCCCGTGTCAATGTCGAAGGCAATTTCATGTAAATTAGAAAACAATCACCTCGGGGACTGGAGCTATGGAAAATGTTTCTATCAAAGCACTAACATTTATGATTAAGTTAGTTGGAGATGGTATAAATTTAATCAAAATATATCAATAATTTTCTATTCCCGTTACTAAATACATTTATAGTAACGTAAACTCTCACACAGTATTTTCATTGTTTTTTCAAATAAAAAACCGGTAAAAGGAGCAATTTTACAATAACTACAGGGCACTTTACGGCATTTTCTACGTCAAACTGTCAAAGGTAAGAAAAATAGCATCTGTACGTTGTAGCCTGCTGAATTATAGAGTCGTGTCGGTTCACTTCGACATGCTTTCAGAGAAATGAACAACGGAACGTTTGTTCGAATCGAACACGTCTCAGCTACCGAGCTACCCAACACTTGAGTAATTGCCCTCGCATACTATAGATAGACTTATATATTGATTCGTATATTGTTAAGTTTTTATAAGGGAGTTAGGTTAGTTCTATAATTGTGTATAGGTGGACTCAGAGTTGTAGTTGGGAAGTCGTTGGATGCGGAAGTCGGAAAACCGCTTAAGGTAGGGGGAGCGTGTTGATGGGGGAAGGAAGTTTAACGAGTCGAGGAGATGACGGCCCAATAACGCAGTCTCCATGCCAATGACGCTCCCATTATTTCTAATTCACAACTTCGCAAAATTATTAACAATTCTGAATTTCAGTATACGTTGCGGAAATTCAGAGTAAGACAGAGAAACTCGTCAGTTACAACTCCGTTAGTTCCTGGGAACTAGAACCGTGCGATTAAAAATGCAAGTAGAAGTAAGGCAACAAAGTCGATCGAAAACCTTATTCACTGTTCCCATGTCACTAGTAAAATGTAGAGCGTCGGTGGCTCAGTGATTTAAGCACTTGACTTGTAATCTACAGGTCTTGGATTCGAATCCCGCCATGTACCAATGTGATTTTCGATTTTTAGAATTTTCATATGTACATATTTTACCCAAC